TGTGTATAAGGCATGTTTGTCTGAGCAGATGTTCAGAGCGAGGCCAGCTGTGTCCAGGACCCCTCAGGTGTTATTTAGAGGAGTGTGTGTTACCTGTGTATAATGCATGTTTGTCTGAGCAGATGTTCAGAGCGAGGCCAGCTGTGTCCAGGACCCCTCAGGTGTTATTTAGAGGAGTGTGTGTTACCTGTGTATAATGCATGTTTGTCTGAGCAGATGTTCAGAGCGAGGCCAGCTGTGTCCAGGACTCCTCAGGTGTTATTTAGTGTGTGTTACCTGTGTATAATGCATGTTTGTCTGAGCAGATGTTCAGAGCGAGGCCAGCTGTGTCCAGGACTCCTCAGGTGTTATTTAGAGGAGTGTGTGTTACCTGTGTATAATGCATGTTTGTCTGAGCAGATGTTCAGAGCGAGACCAGCTGTGTCCAGGACTCCTCAGGTGTTATTTAGAGGAGTGTGTGTTACCTGTGTATAATGCATGTTTGTCTGAGCAGATGTTCAGAGCGAGGCCAGCTGTGTCCAGGACTCCTCAGGTGTTATTTAGAGGAGTGTGTGTTACCTGTGTATAATGCATGTTTGTCTGAGCAGATGTTCAGAGCGAGACCAGCTGTGTCCTAGACCCCTCAGGTGTTATTTAGAGGAGTGTGTGTTACCTGTGTATAATGCATGTTTGTCTGAGCAGATGTTCAGAGCGAGGCCAGCTGTGTCCAGGACTCCTCAGGTGTTATTTAGAGGAGAGTGTGTTACCTGTGTATAATGCATGTTTGTCTGAGCAGATGTTAAGAGCGAGACCAGCTGTGTCCAGGACCCCTCAGGTGTTATTTAGAGGAGTGTGTGTTACCTGTGTATAATGCATGTTTGTCTGAGCAGATGTTCAGAGCGAGGCCAGCTGTGTCCAGGACCCCTCAGGTGTTATTTAGAGGAGTGTGTGTTACCTGTGTATAATGCATGTTTGTCTGAGCAGATGTTCAGAGCGAGGCCAGCTGTGTCCAGGACTCCTCAGGTGTTATTTAGAGGAGAGTGTGTTACCTGTGTATAATGCATGTTTGTCTGAGCAGATGTTAAGAGCGAGGCCAGCTGTGTCCAGGACCCCTCAGGTGTTATTTAGAGGAGTGTGTGTTACCTGTGTATAATGCATGTTTGTCTGAGCAGATGTTCAGAGCGAGGCCAGCTGTGTCCAGGACCCCTCAGGTGTTATTTAGAGGAGTGTGTGTTACCTGTGTATAATGCATGTTTGTCTGAGCAGATGTTCAGAGCGAGGCCAGCTGTGTCCAGGACCCCTCAGGTGTTATTTAGAGGAGTGTGTGTTACCTGTGTATAATGCATGTTTGTCTGAGCAGATGTTCAGAGCGAGACCAGCTGTGTCCAGGACTCCTCAGGTGTTATTTAGAGGAGAGTGTGTTACCTGTGTATAATGCATGTTTGTCTGAGCAGATGTTAAGAGCGAGACCAGCTGTGTCCAGGACCCCTCAGGTGTTATTTAGAGGAGTGTGTGTTACCTGTGTATAATGCATGTTTGTCTGAGCAGATGTTCAGAGCGAGGCCAGCTGTGTCCAGGACCCCTCAGGTGTTATTTAGAGGAGTGTGTGTTACCTGTGTATAATGCATGTTTGTCTGAGCAGATGTTCAGAGCGAGACCAGCTGTGTCCAGGACTCCTCAGGTGTTATTTAGAGGAGTGTGTGTTACCTGTGTATAATGCATGTTTGTCTGAGCAGATGTTCAGAGCGAGGCCAGCTGTGTCCAGGACTCCTCAGGTGTTATTTAGAGGAGTGTGTGTTACCTGTGTATAATGCATGTTTGTCTGAGCAGATGTTCAGAGCGAGGCCAGCTGTGTCCAGGACTCCTCAGGTGTTATTTAGAGGAGTGTGTGTTACCTGTGTTTAATGCATGTTTGTCTGAGCAGATGTTCAGAGCGAGACCAGCTGTGTCCAGGACTCCTCAGGTGTTATTTAGAGGAGTGTGTGTTACCTGTGTATAATGCATGTTTGTCTGAGCAGATGTTCAGAGCGAGGCCAGCTGTGTCCAGGACCCCTCAGGTGTTATTTAGAGGAGTGTGTGTTACCTGTGTATAATGCATGTTTGTCTGAGCAGATGTTCAGAGCGAGACCAGCTGTGTCCAGGACCCCTCAGGTGTTATTTAGAGGAGTGTGTGTTACCTGTGTATAATGCATGTTTGTCTGAGCAGATGTTCAGAGCGAGGCCAGCTGTGTCCAGGACCCCTCAGGTGTTATTTAGAGGAGTGTGTGTTACCTGTGTATAATGCATGTTTGTCTGAGCAGATGTTCAGAGCGAGTCCAGCTGTGTCCAGGACTCCTCAGGTGTTATTTAGAGGAGTGTGTGTTACCTGTGTATAATGCATGTTTGTCTGAGCAGATGTTCAGAGCGAGGCCAGCTGTGTCCAGGACCCCTCAGGTGTTATTTAGAGGAGTGTGTGTTACCTGTGTATAATGCATGTTTGTCTGAGCAGATGTTCAGAGCGAGGCCAGCTGTGTCCAGGACTCCTCAGGTGTTATTTAGAGGAGCGAGTGTTACCTGTGTATAATGCATGTTTGTCTGAGCAGATGTTCAGAGCGAGGCCAGCTGTGTCCAGGACCCCTCAGGTGTTATTTAGAGTGTGTGTTACCTGTGTATAATGCATGTTTGTCTGAGCAGATGTTCAGAGCGAGGCCAGCTGTGTCCAGGACTCCTCAGGTGTTATTTAGAGGAGTGTGTGTTACCTGTGTATAATGCATGTTTGTCTGAGCAGATGTTCAGAGCGAGGCCAGCTGTGTCCAGGACTCCTCAGGTGTTATTTAGAGGAGTGTGTGTTACCTGTGTATAATGCATGTTTGTCTGAGCAGATGTTCAGAGCGAGGCCAGGTGTCCAGGACTCCTCAGGTGTTATTTAGAGGAGTGTGTGTTACCTGTGTATAATGCATGTTTGTCTGAGCAGATGTTCAGAGCGAGGCCAGCTGTGTCCAGGACCCCTCAGGTGTTATTTAGAGGAGTGTGTGTTACCTGTGTATAATGCATGTTTGTCTGAGCAGATGTTCAGAGCGAGGCCAGCTGTGTCCAGGACTCCTCAGGTGTTATTTAGAGGAGTGTGTGTTACCTGTGTATAATGCATGTTTGTCTGAGCAGATGTTCAGAGCGAGACCAGCTGTGTCCAGGACCCCTCAGGTGTTATTTAGAGGAGTGTGTGTTATTTGTGTATAATGCATGTTTGTCTGAGCAGATGTTCAGAGCGAGGCCAGCTGTGTCCTGGACTCCTCAGGTGTTATTTAGAGGAGTGTGTGTTACCTGTGTATAATGCATGTTTGTCTGAGCAGATGTTCAGAGCGAGACCAGCTGTGTCCAGGACCCCTCAGGTGTTATTTAGAGGAGTGTGTGTTACCTGTGTATAATGCATGTTTGTCTGAGCAGATGTTCAGAGCGAGGCCAGCTGTGTCCAGGACTCCTCAGGTGTTATTTAGAGGAGTGTGTGTTACCTGTGTATAATGCATGTTTGTCTGAGCAGATGTTCAGAGCGAGGCCAGCTGTGTCCAGGACCCCTCAGGTGTTATTTAGAGGAGTGTGTGTTACCTGTGTATAATGCATGTTTGTCTGAGCAGATGTTCAGAGCGAGGCCAGCTGTGTCCAGGACCCCTGAGGTGTTATTTAGAGGAGTGTGTGTTACCTGTGTATAATGCATGTTTGTCTGAGCAGATGTTCAGAGCGAGGCCAGCTGTGTCCAGGACCCCTCAGGTGTTATTTAGAGGAGTGTGTGTTACCTGTGTATAATGCATGTTTGTCTGAGCAGTTGTTCAGAGCGAGTCCAGCTGTGTCCAGGACTCCTCAGGTGTTATTTAGAGGAGTGTGTGTTACCTGTGTATAATGCATGTTTGTCTGAGCAGATGTTCAGAGCGAGGCCAGCTGTGTCCAGGACCCCTCAGGTGTTATTTAGAGGAGTGTGTGTTACCTGTGTATAATGCATGTTTGTCTGAGCAGATGTTCAGAGCGAGGCCAGCTGTGTCCAGGACCCCTCAGGTGTTATTTAGAGGAGTGTGTGTTACCTGTGCATAATGCATGTTTGTCTGAGCAGATGTTCAGAGCGAGACCAGCTGTGTCCAGGACTGCTCAGGTGTTATTTAGAGGAGTGTGTGTTACCTGTGTATAATGCATGTTTGTCTGAGCAGCTGTTCAGAGCGAGACCAGCTGTGTCCAGGACCCCTCAGGTGTTATTTAGAGGAGTGTGTGTTACCTGTGTATAATGCATGTTTGTCTGAGCAGATGTTCAGAGCGAGGCCAGCTGTGTCCAGGACTCCTCAGGTGTTATTTAGAGGAGTGTGTGTTACCTGTGTATAATGCATGTTTGTCTGAGCAGATGTTCAGAGCGAGGCCAGCTGTGTCCAGGACTCCTCAGGTGTTATTTAGAGGAGTGTGTGTTACCTGTGTATAATGCATGTTTGTCTGAGCAGATGTTCAGAGCGAGGCCAGCTGTGTCCAGGACCCCTCAGGTGTTATTTAGAGGAGTGTGTGTTACCTGTGTATAATGCATGTTTGTCTGAGCAGATGTTCAGAGCGAGGCCAGCTGTGTCCAGGACCCCTCAGGTGTTATTTAGAGGAGTGTGTGTTACCTGTGTATAATGCATGTTTGTCTGAGCAGATGTTCAGAGCGAGGCCAGCTGTGTCCAGGACCCCTCAGGTGTTATTTAGAGGAGTGTGTGTTACCTGTGTATAATGCATGTTTGTCTGAGCAGATGTTCAGAGCGAGGCCAGCTGTGTCCAGGACTCCTCAGGTGTTATTTAGAGGAGTGTGTGTTACCTGTGTATAATGCATGTTTGTCTGAGCAGATGTTCAGAGCGAGGCCAGCTGTGTCCAGGACCCCTCAGGTGTTATTTAGAGGAGTGTGTGTTACCTGTGTATAATGCATGTTTGTCTGAGCAGATGTTCAGAGCGAGGCCAGCTGTGTCCAGGACTCCTCAGGTGTTATTTAGAGGAGTGTGTGTTACCTGTGTATAATGCATGTTTGTCTGAGCAGATGTTCAGAGCGAGGCCAGCTGTGTCCAGGACCCCTCAGGTGTTATTTAGAGGAGCGAGTGTTACCTGTGCTGCTGGCCGGACTGGAGGCTTTGCTCGCAGAAGCACAGAAACACCAGTGCTTTCAGGTCAGCTTTATCCAATCCGTCCTGACTCACACACACTGTCCTATAACAGCAACAGTATATTTAAAATAAATAAATAAATAAATTGAATATAAGTAATGTACTTTTCCTGTATTTGTTGTTGATCTGACTTCAGATAACAGGTACATGTAATAAATGAAAGAAAAAGTGAATTAAACAATGAAAAAAAAAAAGCATTGCAAGGTGAAGAATTACAGTAAAATAACAGTGTGAAAGGTCGTAGGTTTCTTAATAAGTCTAATAAAAAAATAAACAAAAACTATATAGGGACATGGTGAAGACAAAGAATATCAGATGGGAGAAACATTTTTTGGCAACCCTGTCAACAATTTGTCTCACAATGATCTCAATGTGAGGTCGCAGTGAGCTAAAAGTGTAGCCTCAGAGCGCACTCACTGTGTGCTCATACTCATCCCAGCTGAACTCCAACATCGCTCAGACGTCAAATTTTGGTTGAAAATGAAAATTGGGTTGACGTCTAAACATTTGTTTGACGTCAGGCTCAACGTTATTAAACATCTCCACAAACAGCATTTACCAGCTTCACTTATTACAAACCAGATTTACTTCTGTCATATGTGTACAAAAGTCCTTATTGAGATTAACAGAGGTTTAGATGTTGATGATTTATTTAAAATAATAGTTTGGTTTGATGTATATTGCATATATATTGTAAGACCGTCTAATTCGATCCAAGGGCGGCATTCAAATTAGCGGTGAAGGTCTCAACGCGCGTTCCGTCTCTTCCAATGGCAAAAGGATTTTTTAATTAAATATAATATATTTTGTCTTATGTATTAACTCGTTTCATCTGACTCCATAGAATGAAAGTGTTTTAATGATATCTGTGCATCATTAAATATACGTTAATGTTTGACTATTCCTTTTAACTCCAATGAAAATAAAGTCAAAGTCTGTTAGAATAATCAAATATAACAATTTATTATGTCAGGTAAATGTATTTTAACAATTCCATAATCAATTGAAAGATAATCAATGCAAATCATCAAATGTTTTAGGATTAGAGAAATAGATGCAAACCCAACATGAACTACATGAGCTAAACCTCACGGGCTATCTGAAATACAGAAAAAGCCACGATCCCTTGCTGCCTTCCATTAAATAGCCAGACCTCATTTCCTATGTAAACCTGTATTCACAGTGGAAATGTACTGTGTTCATCCCCCCAGACTTACTGGGGGCAGAAGTAAATTTACATGGTACCATTTGCTAACAGTGGAAATTAGCATTGAGTTCACACCTTGGGAGTAGGAGACCACATTCATTTGTGTGCCAGATATCCCTAAACTCTTAAAAAACCTTATTACCTTTTGTTTTATACTTTGGGAATGAGACATTTGTACCACTCATTCCTGAGACATTTCAAATGATACCAAACATAATACTCAATGATAATCATTCACATCAAACTATAGATATTCTTATGTGAGTTTTTATGTGTCACTGCGAGAGTGGGGGATGCGGGGAAGAAGTGTGTGTGTGTGTGTGAGAGTTCAAATGTTAATTTGCCAAGGTCCTTTGTCTCATAGACCAGTGGTCTATCTCTTCACCCAGTTTCCAGTTTTCCAGTTTTACAGTCCCTCCTTGACCCCGTGGGTCACATTCAGACACTTAAGGGGTCACAGTAAGACGTTTGTCGTGATTGAGATGTAACTCAACAATTGTCTTTGCAATGTCAGCATCTGTAGAAGCTCAGAGGGCTGTGTTCCCCTGCAGAACACCTGTTCTCACCAGGTGTATGTAGCATGAGTCCAGCAGGTGGATGAGGCGTTCAGGCTTTCTTCCGGTGATCCTGTGATGTGAGCAAAGTTCATATAGTCAATCTGGACCTTTTGACTTGTTCAGTTGATGTGTCATTCCTTCATGGAGAAACTTCCGTTTCCCTGGCACCTTCCCCATGATGATAATCTGTCCCTTCTTGACCAATCCTGTCACCTCCAGCGGTGCGGCTGTCTGGACAGACCTCAGTGGATGAAGGTGTTCTCCTTGGCTTCACACTGCTTTGTGTGAGACACCTGAAAAGCATCTTAAATGTCCGCTTCACGATTGAACACATATGAACCTGAACTCGCGAAGAAATCCTTAGAAACGCATAATGCAACAAAACAACATCATGTCATTCAATATAAAATACCATGTTCTTGTCAGCAGGTGTGAATGGTAAGTTTGTCTCATATTAAATATCCAATTCTTAAATATATATATATTTTTTGGTCTGAATTATACAAAGGAAATGCAGCAAGAGGTCAGTGTAATCAAAGCAATCAAATAAATAGTATGCATCAATACGTCTTGTAATAACAATAATAATATTCAAAAATAAAAAAAATATGAAGAATCAGTTTGTTCAGGAATCTTCCAATGTAAGCCACTTATGCAATCTAAGAAGTGACTTGGAACATGAATGGAGATTGTTCATTCCTTGTAACAGTTGTGATATTGTGTTTTTGTGTGAGGGTGTGTGTGTGTGTGTGTGTGTGTGTGTGTGTGCGTCTGTGTGTGAGTGTGATAGTTTGTGTGAGAGAAAGAGAGGGAGAGAGAGAGTGTGTGTGTGTGTGTGTGTGTTGTTGGCTAAGTCACAGTCAATGACAGGGTTGAATTGTAAATTCTGTAATTGTTTGAAGTGCTCACACTTCAGATCTATTAGTTATGATGTTTCTGTTATTAGTGGTTGTTGAGAAATCAGGGGCCCTCTGACCTTCCAACCACCCTAATAACAATCAGAATGTTTAAACATTTTTAAATTTAATAGCAGGTCTGCCTCTGCTTTAATTTTGTTTTTGCATCATTGATTTGTGACTGTAGCCATTCATATGTATATTACAGTGTTTTCCCATGAGTTGGCAGAGTGTTGTGAATAGCGTATGCTATGTGTGCCTCGGACATCATGGGATCAGCTTTACCATCCTATGTGTGTGAAGCTATCTGGATCTGTTAGTGTGAAGATGCACAATAGATCTTTAGTGAAGTGACACTTTTGGACTCTATGTCATCTTTATCTTCTCATGATGTGTAGTGTTCAGTCTGAATAGACTTGATCTATTCCAGGTGATGATGCTGTGAGGGTGTAGTGATGGAGGAGTGTGTTCAGTGTTCATGTCTAGGAGATGGGTGGAATCTACTGGATAACAATTGTGTTGCAAATTTTAGTTCCAGTTCTAAACTGGGAGGCCATGCTAATGTAGTGATGTGCTATTGTAAGATGTAAATGGCCTTTGAAGTGTCTTTTCACCCATCTCCCGAATCTCAGGTTATGTTCTAACAATCGTGAGGTCCGGCCGTCCTGGCATCCGTCCCCTGAGGAATTGCAGAAGTAACCTGACAGAAACAAGTGCAGAGAGAACCACAGTTAATTCTGATGTTTTCAACAGTTTCAAATTCAGACATGTGGGATTCTTTTGCTTGCTCCATTATCATGTCCATTGCAATTTTAATTCCAGCTGTCACATGAAACCGAGTTTCAATGACCAGGTCTGAATTATTGCTGTTGTTTCAGTGCAGTGTGCGACACCTAAAAGCTGCTCTTGTAGTCGAGCCTTCACAGTCTGCTGTGTCACAGCATTAAAGATCCCAGTTTTCGGGTTTTACGTCAAGTTGCTTTCATTACAGCCAGATCTGTGGGCATGAATTATTTCATGGTGTCGTTCACACATTTGGTTAGTGCAGATCTCTAGTTGCCTGCAAAAGGCTGTGGTCTGTCTGATGTTTAGTTCACTACCTCCTTCTAAATTTGGTTCCTTGATCAGTTGGCTATTACCTGTGCCACACTTCTGGGAGTGTTTTTTTAAAGGCAAAAATTAATAAAACACACCTCCGCCCTTTTGGCACTGGGTAGCAGGTCAACGAAATCGAACTGTAAGGATTAATGTCACACTTCTCCAATTAATGCCTGCTTGGCGATTACAATATAATGTATATTATAATTTGAGTTATAATACAGTTACATTATATTTAAGAATATAAATTAAATTATATTATTTCTGGTCTTCTGAAGAGTCTCTGCTCGTTCGCATGTGTTTACATTTGAATATGAAAAGGCTTTCTGGCTCAAGGCTCATAAGCTGTACATTCGCTGTTTCTCCTTTCTGTTTGCTAGTTTTCAAATACCTTTTCTTCTCATTTAGTCTTTTTAAATGGCCATTTTAACGTTTGATTATTCTTTTGAACTCTTAATTTTAGTTTTATCTGTTTAGATCAGGGAATCTATATCGCTCAGCGTTCCTTCTCCCAAGGCCGCACGGCACACTCCCGTCAGTTCCAATAACCAATTCAGAGGTAATTTTGGCTAAATATCTGGGATCTGCCGTAATTCACACGTACACAATCGAAGACATATTCATAGCCCCCTTGAATGCCACCTCAGGAACTTAATTCAATAATTTACTTTAGCACTTATCTAAAGTAACATTAAATTAGGACAGAGGTATTTAGACGTACCCAAATCTAGGTTGCAGCATTAGCTGATTCTAGACGGAAACTACCCGTCTCCTCATTCAAGTACACTTAAAATGGTATCGGATATTAGCCGTCGCTAATCTGACGCGAAAGATGTGGAAATATACGAATCCAATAATCTATGGAAAAAACAGTCTTTCAGAGTCATTCAGAATTAATTCAAACGTAACCATTTACAAATTTGGTATGCGAAACAGCTCCCATAGAGTGGAGAGGTAAAGTCTACGTTCTCTAAAGCTTTGAATATGAAACGGTTTTTTGTTTCAGGATTAATGAGATGCGCGTTCGTGGTTTCTGACTCTCAAATTCATTGTGAATCACATTATAACCACATTCAGCATAGAGACACACGCGTTTAATTCAGTTCACACAGGATACACGGCCTAGAATACAACATCAATTACCTAAGTGTTCCAAATACACAAACAGTAAAGCAATCCTGTGTTTAAAGAATAAACTTACAATTAGCCTATGTGCACATATTGCACAAACAACTATAAAGTGTG